AGTCGGTAGAAGACTTATATAGTCTGCATACTTCAACCAATCTTGAATATTTCCGTTTATAACTGCTAAATTCTTCAGGTGGTTACCCAAAATGTGTCGGTGTGTGGTCCACCTGTCAATCGCAATCGACGTAAGGCCTACCCCGGTCTTACAGTATTATCGGAAGAAATCATTGCAATAGACGATGATAATAGGTGTACAGCTCCAATTATGACAGACAAAGACATTTTGGAACTTTCTCAGAGCTCAAAAAGTATCATTGATGCAGATTTTGACCACGAAAATGAAAAGAATAATGCAGATCCTGTTCCATGTCATCTGAAATGAGGAACGTCATGAAAAGTATGCGCAGTTATTTAGACGCACATTCCAATGGTTAAATGAATAAGAAAATGGACGATAGAGAACAATTTGTTGACAATTTGATGCTAAGAAACCAAAGCAAAGAAAAATATCAGATTAGTTTCCAAAAACTCAATAAATAGGGTTTTTTTTCAAAAAATTTGAAAATTTTGTTTTGAATTTCATTAAATTCTTGTGAATGTTTTTGTTTCATTATTTTTATTAAATATATGCATATCTATGAAAATATAAACTCTAATAAGCTTAATTTTGTTGATATATAGCTATTTTTGTAACATCCTTTAACACACGAAATTCTTTTAACGCGAAGAAATATTTCAGTTCCTGCAGTTACTGTAGTTAGCTCCTTTACAACACTCTCCATTCCGTTCATTTGATAAAATTTCCTTGGCAATCAAAATATACACATGAGCTCAGGCTCAGGCCTACTCTCGCGAAATGTCTTTGAGTGAAGACACCATGCCCATGCAGACAGTTGCAAAATATCTCAAAAAAGGCACCTTAACGTTGTATATTCATTGAGAAAAGTGCGTAGCAATTTAAGAGTGCTGTTCGAAAGAGATTAATGTAAAAAAGTGTGTGTAATATATAAAAAAAAATTTAAGTCAATTCCTACTTAGATGAACAAAGAAAAATTTTATTTTAGCTACTTTTTATTAAATAGTTACAATTAATATAAATATGTATATACATATGACAGAATCACAACATTAAGTGGTAATTAATTTTTATTAATTATCATTAAAGTATCGTATTGTCATCCAAAACAAACGTGTAAATAAAATTTCAGTTCAACTGAATGCTTTAAAACGTGAGAAAAAAAGTCTTTTAAAGTTTTGACCCATGTCGCTAAAAATGAAACCAACGTGGTTGTATCTGTATTTATATATATAATTAGTTTTAGTCAATGAATTTTAATTAATTATAATTAAATTATCGTATTTTTACCCAAAACAATATAGTGTATAGAAAATTTCAGCTTAAATGAGCGCTTTAAAATGTCAGAAAAAAACCTTTTCAAGTTTTGACACAAGTCGTCAAAAGATGATGCCAACGTGGCTGTTTTTGTAATTCTTTGAATAATTAGTTTTAATCAATTAATGTTTATTAATTACAATTAAATTACTGTATTTTGTCATCCAAAATAATAATGTTCCTAAAATTTCAGCTCAATTGAGCGCTTTAAAATGTATTTTATTATCGATTGAAAATTTCACCAAGATATAAAAGTATATAGAGAGTGTGAGCTAATAGTAGCAATTGAATTATCGCGTATTAGAATACATGCTTTTTATGAATGAGGTTCCATAAATTTTTAGCACACTTTTATATATATATATATATATTGTCTAGATAAGAGCACTACAAATTTTTTTTTTCTGCATTGAATCTAGAGTTTATTGTAAAGAGCATAGACTAACATTGTAGAATTATCCAACTAAAATATTCTCCAACATATTTAATAGGAAAATTCTGTGAATCCTGTTTAAAAGGGGTACATTCAGCTGATTTTCTCACATAGACGCTTTAAGGTATGGAAACACGTTGGAATGACCAAATTCGTTAAAACATGTATTTATTGTTTTGTATTTTATTGAATCGAGCAATCTTTTAGCTTTACGAAATATACTTTGTTTTGTATTTACATTACTTAAAGGCGAAGTTACAGTCCATTTTATAAAATTAGAAAAACTGGAAGTGGGTCTTTAATTTAATAGAGGTGGATATTTAAATGGTTCAAAATCTGCCATAGTGCGAGCCTGCTAGCTCAAAATATTACAAACCTATTTTTAGGAAATTTTTTGAGCCTGGTATTTATATTATTTTCTAGAGAATGCACAGAAACGTTTCTTACTTTATGAATATTTGTTGAGTTATAGCTTGTTAAATAAATAATGGTCTCATAAAGAATGTCACATTTCTTATGTTTACTCAATCAGCTCTAAAACTTAAAAATTTAATAAAATATTAAAATTTTAGTACCTTTTTCTATATAAATGCATCTAATTTGTTTAAGCAATACCTTTAGAGATATAAGTTTATCACTTTTTTCCTAATTGCTTTGAAGTTTTTCAAAAATATTGCTAAAATTTTACTAATAGTGATTTTTGTAAAATTTAGATAATTTTTTAAAACATTTTTATAGTTAAATATTAGTATTTATTGGTAATGATTCCTAAAATAGCATTCATAATAGTTCAGTATGGTATTTTATTAGAAAAGTACTCCAAACGTGTTCGGATACCTTAAACATGAAAACGTCTTCAGAAGGTTAAAACTAAAATTCTTCTTTTTCTGGGTCGATGAAAGATCTGTTAAACTCAGAGACATGGTAAGCTTTTTTCCAACTTAGAAAAAAGATTTAGAAAACGATTTTTAAAAAGGTATCGCTAAGCATGTCCTATTTCAAATTAAATGCGAACAAAAATAAAGTCGAATGTGTTGCTAAACTTCCGTTAAACGGATCCCAACCTGAAGTTAAGATAAAATTTTAATCCACCAGATTGACTTTAATTCAAAAAAAAGTAAGCGAATTCTCCTTAATATAGTAAGAGTAGGATCAAAAACTGAAGGTTAAAAAGTAATTTTTCGAAAAATTTCAAAATTTAAAACATATTTTTTAAGAAGACATTTTTCTCCCATAAAAAATTTGAGATGATTGGTACAAAACATTTAATGCTATTATTTGATATGAAAGAAGCCCAGTGGCTGAGGGGTGGTGTATCGCGCTTCCACACCACTGGTCCGAGGTTCAAATCCCTCTGGGAAAGGCTGACTCAGCCTTTCATCCCTTCAGTGGGTCGATAAATGAATACCAATCTTGCTTGAGAACTTAACACAGGGCGTTTCGCGCCAGACGGACCACTTGACGGAAGCATCTGCACATTTACCCCAGCGCCCAAGGTCACGTAAACTAAAATAGTCACTGTAGGCCTTGGTCCTCATGGGCTGGTGCGTCATTGACTTTAATATTTGATATGAAATCCATAGATAAGATTTACATTTTAAATTTTCATCAAAAATTTTATTACAATAATACAATTTTAAAATACGTACTCAAACGTTTGAAATCTTGTCAGTATTGATAATTTAATTTTGATACAGGAATCTGAAGAAGTTTTCAAAATTATAATGTTCGACCTTTGATGGTGGGATATTAAACAGATAAAAAAGAATTTATGCATGAAAGTTAAAATATTACTATACGATGTTTATACTTGTTTAATACATGCTTCCCGCTTTTCTTCAACAAAGTTTCTTCAAAGGAAAATGCGAAAAGTCCTTACAACGAGAATTCATACTTGTGTAAAAATTCTCGAAAGATGAAAGAGAATTTTAAAGAATAAAGAACTTTGTGTAACATTTTAAAATTTACCTTTTTAGTTCAACTTTCTGTAATCAATGAATGATAAAGTAGTTCTCAAATTCTTAACCAACTCCGCTGTTTTTACTTTTTTTTACCTTCACTAAAACGAAAACCATGTGCGGATACAAAATTCAACTTTAATACTTCTTTTCAAGAAGAAAGCAAAATCTCAGAAAAGACTTTTGTTCCCAAAAAAAAGAAACGTGCTGCCGATAAAAATGGGAATGAATAAATGAAAAAATCCTTTTACTCAGTGGGATTTCCTTAACGCGTCTAAAAGAAATGAATGAGTAAACAATGAAATGATAAAAAGAAAATATAGGAAGGGGGAAATGTCCCTTGGAAAACATTAGTACTTTCGGGGCTGGGGGAAATGCAGGCAACAATGCTTTTTACTTACTTTTTTTATGACAACTTTTGAAAGAAAAACCCGTAGAGAAGGGGACCATTGACAAAAACGAAAAAGAAAATGTTTAAGGACTTTTTACTACCAGGAAAGAAAAATAAAAACGATACCAAATTGTTTTTCAGATTATGGTGAATTATTTTTTGTGGTGCAAACAAGCATTACATTGAAATATTGGATGCAACAGAATTATAAAGTAAAATCTATATTGTGTTGAAAAACATAGTTTTAGAAAAAATCAGGTGTTTTTTATTTATTTACCGATATCTGTATGCGGGTGAATTTTTGGCACTGTAAATAAAATGTTTTTACTAACCGTGTGCGGACGAAACAATTTATGGACGTAAATTTCATTTTTAAATATTTTTATTAATCTTTGTAAGATCCTATTTTAACTCACATTTTTATTTATCGCCAACTTGGCAAATTATTATCCTCACATTGGATAAAAGTCCAATGCAAAAATGGGCAACTAGCGCTCTCTCTGGCATTCTTTGCCAAAGGTGTGGACTAAAATAGGATTTTACCTGAGATTTTTAAAAGGGAGAGTGATTGAAGCAGCTAATGTCACATTTCTGGGAAGCACCTAAAAAACCAACTTAAAATTAAATAATTTCCGAACTTATTCAATTCCTACTATTAGTTCACAATCTTCCTATTATATATCTTGTTCAAATTTTAAATCGTTAATAAAATATTTTCTATTCATTCATTCAAGTTCAAATACATTTTTAAAACTTGTAGTAAATAACATTTGATGTTATACACAATTTTTCAAATATTAATTCATTAATTAAATTTTAAAACAATGAATAAATATTAACAAACAAAACACAATATATAAAAAGGAAAATCGCACGTTGAATCCCTGTAGCGCAATGAATAGCGCGTTGGACTTATAATCCAAAGGTTGTGGGTTCGAATTCCCCTGGGATGGCCTAATTTCTGAGAATGTGATTTATGAATGAATAAATAGTAAACAAAAATGATAGTCCAACACCATACATAGAAAGGAAAATTGCTTTCTATTTTGCCACTTAATATTGTGATACTGTCTAATGTATTTACATATTTGTCAATCGTAATTATTTAATAAAAAGTAACTAAAATAAAATTTTTCTTTGTTTACTTAAGTAGGAACTAACTTTTTTTATGTGTTACTTGTTTTTTTTAAAGTAATACTAACAACGAAATTTTAAGAAACTCCCAGGAAATATATAATATCCAAAGACCTTAAGTATTTAGACTGAAAATTTTATTAATTCCTTCTGCATGATATAATTTGACAAAACAGTACAAAAGCAAATTTAAAAACTAAAACTTGTGAAAGAAAAAATGCATTTAGTAAATTATCTGCAATTAATTTAGAAATGAGTTTGAAAGGTTGTACTGATTTTTTTTATATTTTTAAGCCAGAAGTTACCAAACTTTTTTGTCTTATAGATAGATCCCTTCGATTTTGTTTTTGGGTCGACCCTTACTTACCAAATACTAAATTTTAACAAAGGTATCAACTTAAATGTATTTTTGATAGCTGATATAGAACTAGTTACTTTAAGATCTAAATTTCTAATTGTAGTGAAGTATAGCGTTTAGAATTTAAGAAACACATTTTAATTCTTTAAATTAAAATTTAATTAATACACAAAATATATATAACTGTTACATAAAATTATTGAACAACAAACAATTACTTTTAATGGAAGGGATGAATCTGGTGCTTCAATAACAAATTTCCAACATTAGGCACCAATCTTGTCTCCTAAATCTCCTCGGTTAGTGTAATGTCCAGTCTTTTTTCAATTCCTACTATAATCTCACACTCTCTCTCTCTCTCTGTATATTTATTTATCTTGGTGGAATTTTCAATCGTAATGAAATACATTTGAAAGCGCTCAATTGAGCTGAAATTTTATAAACATGATTATTTTGGATGACAATACAATACTTTAATTATAATTAATAAAAATTAATTATCACTTAAATGTAGTGATTCTGTCCTATGTATATACATATTTATATTAATTTTAACTATTTAATAAAAAGTTGCTAAAATAAAACTTTTCTTTGTTGATCTAAGTAGAAATAGACTTAAAAAATGTTTTTTATATTACTTGTTTCTCCTGAAACTCCTTCTCACAAGGAAAAGAAATTAAAAATCTTCTTAAGATATTCCATAATTAACAGGTACATCTTTTTAAAGCCAAAATTGCTGACATCCTTTTTTAAGCTTCACTTTAAGATTTTCTATTCCGATCAGTACCTTTTGTGTATATTCTGACATTTTTCTTTTCTTTTTTTCCCCCAATGTGACCATACGAATCCATTGCCTATTGTGGTATTACTATAGTCAAAGCATTCTCGAACCTAGTTTTAAAATCTGAATGAAGGGCATTTAAATGTTCAACGTAGGTTAAAATCCCTGACAAATTGAGACTGGGGAAATTCGTGACGTCCAATAATATACTCCTTTAGCTTAATTCTAGCAAGAAACGCTGAAATGACGTCCTTGTTTTAATGAAATGTATACTGTCACGCTGTAACTGAAAATTAACCTCATTAAATTTAGTAAATAAATCTAATAGATAGGTACATTTGATTTGCACTTCATTAAATTATCGTTTAAAATTAAACTCGCAATCTGGTTTAATGAGAGCCACTATTAGAGACCCACTTTTACACCTCATGCCCTCCCACAAAATTTTTTCACTGACTTGGGTCCCTTGCAGTTCGTCGAAGACCCTTAGGGTTGATATACACCACTTTGGGAATCGTATTTTTAGCCATTATTAAATGTAGTTTAATATTGTGATCAAACGAGAGGAATAGATTTTTTTTCCGTTCGTATACTCATGTTATAATGGTGGCCCCGTGACGTCCATTAGTGTAGGAGAATCGGAAGGAAGATTAGCCATATTCAAAATAACTTCTATTTATTCACAGTAATCAATAAAGACACCAATTCTGTAACCCAAGTTAAAAAATGCACCAATTACTAAATATGGAAAGCAATAGCGAGGTAGACGCGATACTAGAAGACTTAATAAATCGGATCACTTACGTCCAGGCAATACACCATCTAATTCCAAGCGACCTAATCCAATTCAATTCTTAATTGACCAAATCGGCAATCTTAATATTACACTAATAGGCTACAATGTGTGTGTGCCCATGCTTAACTTCACGTTAAATCAATCACTGCTATTCGTTAGCAGTCTAACCTCTCTCTTTCTAAATGGAAAGTTTAATATTTATATATACATCTTAACTTACATAATTACATCTTCTTCGAAGGAGGAAGGCTTGTAATAGAATAATTTCTAAAGATCCAATGTTCTCCAAGAGGATTATTAGTGGAAGGAACGTAAATAGACCCGTTACAATGTTTTTATTCTATTGTACAGTTCATTTTTGATTAATTCACACTGTGTATGGTTTTTATTCTGTTCTGTTGATTCTACTTTTTCCGTTCCCTCTTTGAGTGTAGATATATTAATAATTGATTCATTAATTCATTAATTGTTTATTATGTATCATTTTAAGGCAACAACTTTTAAGGCCACTCTCTCCAATTGATTAATTGTTAATTAACGTCATACCTTTGATGCTACAGGAGGACAATAGGCAATGGTGCTCACAATTTTGAATCTAGGTCAAATTACAAAGACACTCCACTCTCCAAACTACCACACCACATTAAGGTGAGGATTTTGAACCTCGGAAGATCAACCCCTTTACAGGTTACTTTAGTGACGAAGTCAAAGTCCCGAATCGAGAAGTAACAATACAGGGCACAAGTTTACAACCATGATGATAATATACTAATAATGAAAGTAAGCTGTACTGCACACATATTGAGTTTTATATATAAGGGTTGCCCAAATTAAAAGTGGATACATGCAATTGTTTCAGAATAATTACAGCTATGGCAGCACCATCGAACAAGGATATAAAGGAGGTGTACACCGCATACGATGTGCAATAATATACCTGTTCGTGGTAGAGGAAATAGATCAAAAATAAAGTCGTGGTGTTCTTGGATGCGTTCATATCGGAACAATGTGCAATAGTATGGTTTCTAATTGCAGAAGGCGAGCAGGATGTGGGCATTTATCAGCGAACGGTGGAAGTCTATCGCGAGCACTGCTTAGTTCGAACAATTGGTGCAAACGTTTTGTTGGAGCATGGCAAACGATCAGATCTCCATAACAATGTGGGTCAAAACGTCTCCCTTGAAACCCAGACAACCTTAAAAAAATCCCGTTGAAAAGTGCTAGAACACACTCCGTACAGCCCAGGTATGTCTTCCTAAAACCTTTCACACTTCACTCCATTTAAGAGAACATTACATTTCCATTCGGACGATAAGGTGAAGGAATCTATGCAGGACTTAATCGAAAATCACCCACGGTTTTTCTACAGCCAAGGCATAGGGCTATTATAGAAACGATGGGGCTTGTGCTACAACTCCCATGACAATTTATTTTGATTTCCAATAAAAGTATTCTTTTTATTCAACTTGTCCACTTTTCATTCGGGCAACCCTCATATAAGGACATCATCTCATGTACTCTAAATAGAGAAACTAACATTTCGCGCGCGCGCGCGCGAAATGCATATCCTTCTAAAGTGAAAGCATCACCAACCCCCAATTGTAGCTGACGCTATATCTATTTTACATTACAATTTATTAGTCTACAATATGAAACTGTAGAGAATGTATATCAGTCCTAGAAAGCATCTGTAAATAGAACAGAGTTCAAATGCGTTATACTTACCTAGAAAAATTAAATTAAAATCTCGGATATGTATCAATACGTCATATATGTCAATATATAAAAACGTAGCATCAAATAGTTATTTACATATATGCAAGTTTTAAAAAAACATCCATCCTCATATGTAGGATTTTTATTTCTTATAAAAAGTATAGGGAAAAAAAGAGATAGAAAATCGTTTATTTTTAATTTGTACATTTTTTACAGCAACTGTGTGTAGTATAAATAAACACAAAAGATTTATTTATTAATATATGAACATTTCCTACTCTGTATACTTTCACCATATGCAAAGGTCATCTTAATACAACCAAGATACATAGTAATTTGGAGAGAGTCGTTTGATAATATAACAATGTTGACTCCTGATGGCGAGTGAGCTGATGGACCTCCCTTAAAATATACACTACATTTAAGATATAATATTGAGACGTAATACATTTAACATGCGCCAGCCTTGCATTACATGCAGGTGATCTTGTCTTAAGATAACTAATTCTCGCTTTAGAATCTATTATTCACTTAAAACTGTTCTATTCTACAAAGCTATTTTATCAATTTTATTTAAACATAAATTTATGAAGCCTGTTTTCAGCAAAAAAAGATAATTTTACCTCAAATAATATAATAAAAGTAGATATTTTGTCATATTTAGAGAGAATAAATTTTAAAAAGCAAATTTTGCCATTACATGTAAAAAAAAAGTTTTGATCAATAAAGTCTAGGGATGGTAATTTTCTGGGGGAAGGGAATGGTTTGTAGCTTCAAACTGCTTAGGATAAAAAAAATTCGATTCTCTTGGATACGTCGCAGGAAAATGACGAAATTAGGAATTTCATGAAATCCCTAAGGGATAGGATCAATTGACGGGAGATGTTAAAATAACGTCTCTCTCTTCAAGGTCATTTCCATGATGAAAGTAAGTGATTGTATCAAACCCTGAATTGTTTCAGTGAAATGATGAAATGAACTAGTCAGGATTTTCATTGGCACAATGCTGTCCGCGGGGGTCAAGTTTTTGTACTTCCTAACCATACAGGTAGTACTATCAATCCCCTAAATATCAACCTCATATCTTTAAAAAAAATGGCACCATAGAATTAACATAGGGATTGATATTTTAGTGTGTAAGCAACCGAGAGAAAAGTTGCTACACAT